TAGGTAAGTAGATAAATCTCATGTATCTCTCTCCCCCAAGAAATCACAAAAATAACATAGAAATCGATACAATGGTATATGTTATGCACATCAAAAGAAAATTGACAACAATTTTTTTTTTATTAGTATTGAAGTTACTGACAACTAATCCTTAAGCATGACAAAAAAAAAGTCACTTTGAGAGGGTAATGGTTCTTGATGGTTTTAGCTGATCTCTTGAGCCCAACTCCGACTAGCTTGAACGGCTTCCTGGATGTGACCTTTCATGACTTGTTCGCCTCCTTCGTTAGCTTGTTTCAAGATCTTCTGTAATCTATCTCGTTGGTCAGTTGATAAGCTATTCGTGATTATGTTCAAGACTGGGTGGCCACTAGTCTCGATATCTGCCCCCGTGAAAAGATACACCAAAGATAAACAAATCAGATTTTATGTCAAAAAAAATGTCTATGGTGAGTGTCTATAGGAGATTTGAGATTGCAGACTTTTCATGACGGCAGCGAATTCGCAATAAGCGTCCAATCGATCCAAAGGGGTCTCCCACAAGATCTCGTCGCTCCATAATGAGCTGGGGGGTACAGTGACATTGTCGGATGGACTATCATGAGTCTGAGGCACGGACCAACCCAGGAAAAATAATTGGTTTGTTCAATTTCATAATCAAATATTATAGAACTCAATCTTTGGGAGCTTACTTTTGTTCTTGAAGAAGTCACGTGACCACGGTATATTTCCTCCGGTTGATCAATCACGTCTTCATCATCTAAAAAAATATGTATGGACAGCGTTCAGACCAGTGCCACGGTTCATGGTTGACATCAACCTCAAGGTCATCTCACCATTTTCTCCATTTTCATCTTCGTCGCTCCCATTACTACATAAATCACTCCCATCATCCGAGTCGAGGTTGTAACTTTTTTCGAGCTCGAAACGAGCTAAATCGAATGGCGGCATACGTTAGAACGCCTTTTTTTGGGGAAGACCTCGTTGTTTGTCTGACTTACTTCGGATCGCATCAGGTAAGCTCTCGAAGAGTGTCAGGGCGCCCAAGACGAGCTGACCCGAGCTTTGGGCTAATATGTTATCAACCCCTTCGCTGATGCTGATCGAGAGGATGGCGGAGATGGCCAAGAGACTGAGTTTTTTGTCGTGGGTCCTTTTGAAAGACGAGAGTCGACTAAACCACTCTCCGAAGAACTCGGAGCTCCAGCCGTTCTTGATCAACACGTCCATCGATATCCCAGGGTTATAGTAGATCGCGTTTAGGACGACTTCGAGTGCATGCATCAGTAGAGCCTTGGTCGTAATGGGATCGATGGTCGTGATCCCACGCTGGATGATTCTCATGGTGTGTTCGAGAAACATTGGCACGGCCCCATCGGCGTGTCCTCTCAAGCATAGTAACATGCTATCGGCTAACTTGCAAGCGATGATTCGGTCCGAGCAACTCAACGTTTTGCTGGTCATTGCGCTCAAATAGATATCCAGCATCTTGTTCATCGTATCAGGATGGCTTGAGATGTATGACGCGCCATAGGTAAGATAGTTGTCCAATGATGGAAACATCTCGGCTACGAAATCGGCCCCGGAAGTCTTGTAGACATCATAAACGATCTCGAATAAATCCCATTGCTCGTTTGTGATGGTTTTCAAAGCAAATTGAGTGGAATCCAGCAGTTCTAACGCTTCGTCATAAATTTCTATTTTGATTTGAAAGATTGGTCAATGGCTGTGTGTACAGAGGGCAATGAATTGAATTGCACTAACCGACTATCTCCTCTTTGAGAGTGTATTTGATCAAAGAGATTGACGCAGCTTCGACTTGATAGAGCACATTGACATTCCCTTCTAAGCCTACGACTAGCTGTTGCAGCGTTTTGAGAATGTTCATTGCGACTAAGACTTTCTCTTCACTCGAGTCGTCATCCTCATCTCCCAATCGTCGACGAGCATCGGCGATCTCCGACATTAGCCTCATGTACGACTGATGAAGGGCCTGAGACATATCGGCTGCAAATGGCAGTAGTTCATCGGAGAACTTGGAGACTAAACTCCGAGTGGCCTGTGTGAGACTGTCGAGATCGACCTCATTGGAGAGTGCCAAAAGCCCTGCGGATCAAAGAAACACTGGTCAATTTGGTCAATAATCCAACAAGGTTTATAATGCAGGAAAACTACCTTTCATAATCTGACCAATGTGCGGAGCAACTCCTTCGTGGACCTGAGGATGCTCACAAAGTTCGGGAAGAGTGAGGGCAGCTTGGACTCGGACTGGCAAGGAGGGATCGGATAAACATTGAGTGACACCTTGATAGGCCGTATTGAGTAACTATGTTACAAGACAAAATCTTGTCAGCAAAAAAAAAGTAAACCAAATTAGCGTAATTTATGCTCACCTCCTGTTTTGACCATTCTGAGCCGGCAATTTCAAATTTCCGAACGACTTCACACGTCTATCAATACAAAAAGAGGACAAAAAAGAACAGAAGAGAATTTAGCAATCCTGAGAAGAAGAAAAGAAATAGTAGAATTGATGGGACTGCTGACTCGAGCTCTTATGAAGGCATGTTCACTACGAAACTCAGGGAAAACGTAAGTTGAGAAGAATTCTTCGATATTAGGACGGATGGATTTCTAGAAAAGAAAAAGTAAAGATCTACGGTTAGCAGACCCACTATTTTTAAACAACTTGAATGTAAATTGAACTTACTGTCTCCGTAATCACGGTGGCCAAGTGAGCCAGGGAGCGAAGGGCACCATCTTTATCCCGTGGGGTGTGGTCAGCTGGGTATCTGGAAGGAGGAGAGTGATCAGTGAGAAATTTACAGGAAAGCTGGATCGAGTGAGATCGTGTTGGACCTACTTTGCACATACATCGGTGATGAAGGTCAGCAAGCTCATGAACATCGTCTTCTTACGTCCACTGGCCAGTGCGAGGAGGAAACCGGCTGAAATGGTGCTCGGATTCGAGCAGATATCTTCAAAGAATTCGGCAAATTGAGAGCGCACATAATCTTCTGGTTGGTTCTCAAACTCGCATACCTCATCCTCGGTAATGCAGAGTAATGGGAAGATGAAATGTGACAGTAGTACTGGAATTTGTGGTTTCAAGACCGACCAGGTCTCCTTGGGTCGGATACTAAAAACCAAAAACAATGCAAGCAAAATGTTTATAATTAGTTATATCTCTACAAGGAAAGCTGGTGTTGATGAGTTGATTGATTTCTATGCTTACCACTCTTCGAAAAAGATGATAGTATGACAGATGACCTTACGGCTCATCCAATCATGCTCTTGAATGAATAGTTCGACCTGTTCTAGGTAAAGTCTCAAGATCGGACCAGCAAAGGATGAGATGAAGTTGTCGGCGAATGGTTTATATTGTAGCATGTTGGTTGGTAGTTGGGATGGTGAGCCGTATCTGGAGTAAAGTCGATTCAACTGCACAATAGATATATATGTATATGTATATGAATCATTTCAGACTGTGGTGATGTAGAATAATAAGGTTTGCTGCGTACGATAAAGTAAGACCACTTCTTTGCTTTTGACCAACCCCACCTGTCCTGATCATCAGGGTCGCTTGGGAAGCCGGGAGAGTTCTTTAATGGTTTCCGGATGACAGCCAGGAAGAGTTGACCCCAGGGGATGATCTGTTGCTGTTGAAAGATGGGTAGCTCGGCGGTGATTGAGGTTTTATAGATCTTGAGGATCAGGTAGAGCAGTGTGCCGATATTCGAGTTAGCTTGATCCAAGCTAGTCGGAGTGGGTAGTAGTCCATAATTCTCTGGAGGGTGAGAGATGAGAGATTGGGCGAGTTGGAGGAGGATGGGGAAGGAGAGAGTGATAGCGTTGGATCTCAGTTGGCTCTTATCTCTTCCAGACCAGCGGTATAGTCTCATGATCTCTAGTAGGCTGAGTAGGCCGGCTTGGATGAGTGGAAATTCGTTTGAGCCGATGAGGTTGATCGTCTGTGGCAGGACCTCCGGCCATCGATCGGGGTAATCGGAAGAGATGATGACGGCAAGGGTAGGCAGGAGGAGTGTGCTGATCGAGCTGGGTACTGATGCGATGGCCTGCAGGAGGTGTTGCTTGAGGAAGGTGCGATCCTGGTCGGATATCTTATTATTCTGGAGGGATTGGTCGATCGGCTTAGCAGTGATCCTGGTGGACTGGTGATCATAGGAGGATCTGGTGAAGTTCTTGAGGTAGATTGCAGCGGCCTGTCTGGCTGGTAATGGCTGGTCAGCTGAGGCGACGAGTGAGAAGAGGGTGCTGAGGAAGCCTGGGTTAGCTTGGAGCTGGTTGAGATGAGCTTCGGCGTGATGTCTGGACTGTAG